GAAACAGATTTGGAGCAGAACCTGCTGACAATGTTCGATTGCAAATTGGCAACAAATTGTAGACAGAGTCTGTATTGTCAGCAGACTCTGTTCGGTTTTTGCTACCAATTTGCTGACATGCTGTCAACGTATGCTGACAAAAACATGTCAGCAGACGTTGACAGCAATTTGGCAGCAGTTTACTACTCTGATAGCAAAATGATGCCAAATTGCGCTCAAATTGGCAGCATACTCGATCAGATCTTGACTACAAAACCGTAGCCATCTGCGTCCGCATTTGGCTATGGATTTGGCGACAACATTTGCCGACATGATCTAACAGCAGATTGGTAGCAAAAACCGAACAGAGTCTGCTGACAATATTTGGTAATACACAGACTCTGTCTACAATTTGTTGCCTTTCTGCAATCAAAAATTGTCAACAAACTCTGCTCGGTTTTTACAACCAATCTGCTGCAAAACATGTCACTGTCAGCAAATGTTGTCGCCAAATCCATAGCCAAATGCGGACGCAGATGGCTACGGTTTTGTAGTCGGTTTTGTTATCAGGGGAGTACAATGTTTTTCTTAGTTACCTTCGTAATCTGTAAAAAACTAAATTTTTGAGGACTTGATGGAGTGGGACACTGACTCGACAACAGAATTATTTCTCTAATTCAAGGAATACGTGATTTCACAGTTTAAATCTCGATAGGTTACGTTTATGAATAGACTGAAGTGTGATCACTCATTGCTTGAGCTAGTTATCATAGGTTGAACATCGTGGACTCACCGAATTGTCCTGCTTGCGAGGTACTAGAAAGTGCGAACCATGTTTTTTTTTTTAGCAATGCTTGAGATTTCCTTCATAACGCGAAATTGTATATTTCGTTTAACGAGAGAATGACCTCGGATCGGCTAAAAACTCGTCTGTTTTGCGCAAATCTCCGCCCATTTCTCACAGTGTTGTATTGCAGTTTGCTACTACGTCATACCAGGAGATATCAGAATTAAATTATTCTTTATTCACTCGTATTTCGTTATAGTTATTCCGAAAATATTGGGAGTTCAAATTAGTTCGGTCCGTTTTCCAAAAGATGGCTTCGGCTATTATGAATGGTTCATAGTGACATCTGATTTTGGCGGTTTCATAAAGGTTAGGCATCTGCTAATAATATTCAGTTTATTTCGCTTTGAGTTTCATACAAAAACCTTAATTTTTACTGTTTGAAATGTCGAATTTCGTGTTAACCAAGCAGTATTTGCGGGAGGTTTTAATTTTTTGCTTTAATTGGAAAAAAAGTGCAACTGAAGCCCATCGAATGCTTATCAAAGTTTATGGTGACACTGCTCCAACTGATAAATTATGTAGGGAATGTTTTCGACGTTTCAAGGATGGAGATTTCAGCGTTGAAGACAAAGAATTAGAGGCATTACTCGAAGAAGATCAAAGTCAAACGCATGAGGAGCTTGCAGAAACATTGGGAGTATCTCAACAAGTCGTTCTGTTTGCGAGCCATTGGAATGATTCAAAAACAAGGAAATTGGGTGCCTTATGAACTGAAACCCAGACGTTGAAAGGTGATTTTTCACTTGCGAACAGCTGATTCAAAGGCAACAAAGAAAAGGTTTTATGCATCGGATTGTGACTGGAGATGAAAATTGGATATTCTACGATAATCCCAAGAAAAAAAATACTATGCTAAGCCCGGTCAATCGTTGCCATCGACCTCAACATCAACACCAAAGCCGAACATTCATGGCTCAAAGATCATGCTCTGTATCTGGTGGGACCAAAAGGGTGTTGTTTACCATGAGCTGCTGAAACCTGGCGATTCCATTATTACGGGTGATCGGTATCGGCTACAATTGATTCGTTCGAACCGTGCATTGCGAGAAAAACGGCCGGAATACGAGCAAAGACATGATAAAGTTATTTTTCTTCACGACAACGCTCGGCCTCATGTCGCAAAAGTCGTAAAAAATTATTTAAAAACGCTCAAATGGCATGTTTTACCGTACCCGCCGTATTCTCCGAACATGGCTCCTCTTGATTACTGATTGTTCCGAAGGATGCAGCACGATTTGGCAAGTCATCGGTTCACTTCTTTCGCAGAAATCGAAAATTGACCTTCTTTTCGCGTTTCAACTTAAAAAAAACGCAGCTGAGACAAAAGAAATGATTTGTTCGGCTTTGGCGAGAATACTATATCGTATAGTATGTGTAAAAAATGGTTCCGACAGTTTCGAGTGAACAATTTCGACTTTGAGGATCGTGAACGCCCTGATCAACTAAAAAGAAGTGGTAGACGTGGAGTTGCAGGAAATTTTGAACGAGAATTCTTGCTAAACGCAATTAGAACTTGCAAATACGTTTGGAGTAGTAACCCAGCAAGACGTTTGTTATCCCCTAAAAACAGCTGGGGAGGATTTACAAAGAATCCCGATGGATCCCTCATGAGCGCATTCCCGAAAACAAAAGCAGACATCACGATACAGCTCTCTCCTTGCTTTCTAGGTCCAAGAAAGAGAATTTTTGCACAAAATTGTTACTTGCGATGAAAAGTGGATATTGTACGAGAATCCTAAGAGGCGAAAATCATGGGTCCGTCCAGATGAGCCGTCAACGAGCATCGCAAAACCGAACATCCATGCTAAAAAGTTGTTGCTATGCATTTGGTGGGCTTAGAAAAGCGTGATCCATTATGAGTTGCTCCATCAATGTCAGACCGTGACTTTTGAGCTCTATCAACAACAATTGATTCGTGTAAATGACGCTCTTGAAGAAAAAAGGTCATTTACTGCAGTGGAAGAAGGAAGGTGATACTGTTGCAGGATAACGCCAGCTCCCATACAGCAAAAAACACTTTGGTAACCATCTTCGATTTAGGCTGGAAAATTCTTTCTCATGCGGCGTATTCTCCAGATTTAGCTCCTTCGGATTATCACCTATTTCAAGCCTTACAACATCACCTAATTGATTCTCGATTTAAGTCAGTTTAAAAGATCAAAAATAGCCTCGATAAATTCATTAATTCAAAGCCACCATCATTTTTCCGATCTGGAATTCGGCAATTGCCTGAAAGATGGAAAAAATATATAGATAGAGGGAGATTACTTTGAAGATTGAGTTTGTATTCATGTTTTTATAAATAAATGTCAATGTTGATCAAAAAAGGCCGAGAATTAATTTATACATCTAATATAATATGGTAAATGATAAATTTCGGTTTAAAGACCATTGTGATTACATGATAAAGAAAATAGATAATTCTATATCGGTTTATACTTGATGTATTAACTACAAGACAATCATAGTACCTTATTTTGAATATTATGCAACGTTGTTGATTGATATGGGAAAAATATAGCTATGCAAATTACAAAAGTTATAAAATCGAGCTATGAGAAACATATTGTAATGTAACAGATACTTCAAAGCAGGACATACTGCAAGCACTGCAGTTATGTCCATAAAATAGGGGTTATATTATGATATATGTACATCTATATATTTAAAATATTACATGACATGTTGTCAAAACAACTAAGAAATAAGTTAGAAATTGTGGATATTGAAAATAAAAGATAAAGATATTGCAATACAATTCTGCAAAACAAAATGTGCACAAAAGAGTATGTTTTATGAAAGAGTAAAAATCTGTAATGCTTTACCATATAAGCTAAAACACTATGAGAGATTTGAACCATTTAAGAGATTGTTAAAAGAATATGTATTTAATGTTTTATTCATTTAGATTTAAGATTATATATATTATTTTATTATGAGGACAATAAGTACCCATGTTTGAAGATAGGCAACGTAGCCAATACAAGTTGGCATTATCATCGTAAACTGTTATCTTTCAAACGACGCCATACAAAATTTCAGAGTGATTCATGCGATAGTTTTGATTTGACATTTGTATTGAGTGCGTTTGGTATTTTTTGATACAATGAAAAAAGAGCAATATCGATACGTGATATGATTTTTATTTTTGTATAGAACGTGCGAAAAAATAGAAACGAAGGATGCTGTCTATGAGAACTCTTCACCATCTATGACAACTGTCAGATATTGGTTCAACAAATTCAAACGTGATCGTTCATTTATTTTTTATGAGGAGCGCGCAGACCGCTCGGCAGACGTAGACTGAGGAAATCGTTGAAAAGATTCGCGACATGATTCTCGCTGATCGCCGAACGAAAGTGCGTGAAATAGCAGAAGCCGTCGTAAGCCTGTCGTACGGAACGGCATTCAATATTTTGTATGATAACTTGGGAATGAAAAAGCTGTCGGCCCAATTGCTCACGGTGGACAACAAGCAGATACGGCTATCAATTTCGGAGCTGTGTTTGAAGCTTGTTTAAGCACAATCCGTAGTAGTGTTTGCGTTGAGACGTAACCGTTCATGAAACATGAATTCATTACTACATACCGGAGACCAAGGAACAGTCAAAACAGTGGACTTCACTCGGCGAACGTGCTCCGAAGGCCGAGACGATACCATCGAAAAGGTAATGGCCACTGTTTTTTTGGAATGTGCAAAGCTTGATCTTCAATGACTATGTGGAGAAGGAAAAAACTATTACCTTGCAAGTACTATGCTGATTTATTGGGCCGATTCGATGTTGAATTGAAGAAAAGACTTTATTTGGCGAAAAAAGGTGTTGTTCCACTAAAATGTATCGGCTCACTCCTCTGCAGTCACCACAGTCAAATTAGTCGAACTGTTCTATGAATCGTTGCCACATCTACCTCTCCAGATTTGGTTCTCTGCGACTTCTTTTTATTTTTAAACTTAAAAAATGGTTCGATGGAAAGAGATTCACATCGAATAAGGAGATCGTCGCCGAAACAAGTCCATTTTACGTTAAAAAATAAAAAATTTTGTAAAATTGTCTTCTTGTTTTGTGTGTCTTTATTACTAACACGGGTACTTATTGATTTGCTTTCGTATACTCTTGAAATAGCTGAGAAAGTTAATAAAGATCATTTATTTATATATTTATTTTTTCTCTCTCTCTCTCTCTCTCTCTCTCTCTCTCTCTCTCTCTCTCTCTCATCCATTACGATTCTCTACTTACCATCTTACTCGTGCTCTCTTCCTTTTTGTTGTGGTCCTATACTTACAATCATATTCGCGTTCTCTCTTCCTCTTGTTGCGATCCCACTTTTACCATCTTAAAAATAAGTAAAAATAATTAAGGCTCAGAATTTAAAAATAAATGTAAGAGAAAGAATAGCTGTAATGAGCCAACACAGATATAAGTGCGATATAAGTGCGCAAGAAAATAGATGTTTATTCTTATATAATATACATATTTGTAAACGTTTCGACAACTTTTTTAATCTTCCTCAGTATAAATATAAAAAATAATTAAATTATAATATAGTATACGAAAAAGTGAAAATTTTGAAAAAACATTATTGCCGCCCGTATAAAATGAGACTCGTTCAGGAACTGTCTGAAGATGATTTCGACAGAAGTATTGAGTTTTGTGAGGAAATGATGAGACGATGTGATGAAAACCATCAATTTTTTAATTGAATTTGTTTTTCTGACGAAGCCACCTTTGAGTTGAATGGATCTGTCAATCGTCAAAATTTAAGATATTGGGCTGACAATAATCCTCATTGGATGAGAGATTGTCACATTCAATATCCCCACAAACTAAATGTTTGGGCTGGAACAATAGGTCATCGTATTGTAGGTCCGTTTTTTATCGAAGGGAATATAAATGAACACAATTACGTGCACTTACTAAAACTGTGCCATGTATTTAAAACATTACAGGAAATGCTTTTGAAAATGTTTGGTTCCAGCAGGATGGGGCCCCAACTCATTTTGCCATAATGACTCGTAACTTTCTCAATGAAACATTTCCTAATGGATTAGTAGAAGAGATCAAATCGAGTGACCACCTAGATTACCAGATCTAACCTCATTTGATTATTTTTATTGGGCATATTTTAAGGGCAAAGTATATGAAACAAAACCGGCAACCATTAATGAATTATGAGCAAGAATATTAGACGTTTCAAATTCAATTGGACAGGAAATGCTAGAAAATATACTGCAAAGTATCTACATCCGATTGGCACATTGTCAAGCAGTAAACGGATAACAATTTGAACATTTAATTCATTAATTTTTTAATTACGTCCAACATGTGCACACAGCAGAGAGGGTTTGGAGTCGTAAAATATCGAGGGACTGACGAACCACGAGGTCCTTATCTCTGATTGTATTCACACATACATATATGTGCACGCACTCACGCAAGGACTCACTTTGATCAAGCATCTCAAAGAGGTGAATATCCGACCGTACCACGTGGTACACCTTAGATAACGCGATACTAAAACTTTGAAAGTTCGTAACTCAGGAAGATGTCAAGCAATAAGGGTTCGTAATCAATGTTCCAGAAACGTCTTGACACCAGTTTTGAGAATATGTAATAGAAACTAGGAGTTTCCATTTAAAAGTTGACCTTCACGGTGTTTTTTAAGGTCACATGAAAGTTACTTCAATATAACCATATTCTTAATTTTTCATTAAAATTATTACTTTTCGACCGCTTATATCAGCAGAACGGCTTGACCGATTTAAAATTTTTTTGTCTCAAATTACTCGTGGTGATGCCGCCTTTTAGGGCATATATAACGTTTAATTCAAAATTTTTTATATTTTACTAGTTATGCACCTCCCAAAAATGGACTTTGGTGGCTCGGGATAAGAGACTTGTAGCGTCTCTCAGTTTTTGAACATGGCCGGAGACACTACCGCGTCTCCTGATAATAGACCACTTGATATACTAAAACTTTTGTATTAAACATTTTCTTCCATAATCATTACTTTCCAAGATATTTGATCGTAACAGTCAAATATCTTGGAAAGTAATTACGGAAAGTAGTTACGGAATTTTTTTCCATCATTGTATGTATATTAGGTGTATACCTATGAAATGCAGAATTTTGAGGAAAAACACATGTTAATCTTTTCCATTGTGTGCAAACGCTCGCTAACAATATTTTGAGTCACATTTGATACTTCTCTCAATTATGATTGAGTTTGAGTGGAGTCTTCGTCCAACAATGCTTGCAACTTCAAATTTTTTCAGTGGTTTTTCCTTAGCCTTGTCTTTCACATCATATTCATCAGTTTTGAATCGATTGAACTAACGTTCACAAGTGTCTTGAGATAAGCATGTTCGTCGTTAGCTTCTATAAATATTCAATAAGTTTGAGCAATAGTTTCCTTCAAAATGAAGTAATGAATTAAAACTTTCCTTAAATGGTCTTTTCGTACGAAATTCGACATTTTCGAAGCAGAAAAAAACTATAATATTTACACTCACAATTTTCCATATACATATATGGTTTTGTAGGTTAGGAATAGCTAGAGTTCTAGATATTAGAGAAGCGCAACCGGTGTGCCGCATTCTGATTCGCTGACTGTCAGCCAATCATGACATTCATTCATTAGTACTAAAAATGGCTGACTAATAGACGATTGGTGGATTTCATATTTCGTCTGCAATCGCCGCTATTTTTAGTACTTTTCTTAGTAATTTTGCGATACTGACTTAACCCGGTTGCGTTTCTCTGATATCTAGGACTAGGAATAGCCAAATAAAATACTATATATGTCAAATCATCACGCGTAAGAACGTATGCGTGGCGCTACTTAGGAAAATCCGCATTTCGTAGGTATACAACTTACATATATATCTATTTATGGATATAGGAGAGAGAGAGAGAGAGAGAGAGAGAGAGAGAGAGAGAGAGAGAGAGAGAGAGAGAGAGAGAGACGCATATGCGGTTCGAATAGGAATTTAAATTTTAAATGGCTAAGCGCAGACTGCGCGGTTTCTGCTGTTAACCTGTACAATCTGTCGTCAACTTCTGTCAGCAGGCTCTGCTCACAATCTGCACGCAATCTGCTATCAGATCATTTCAGCAAACTTTGTTCGGTTTTTGCTACCAATCTACTGCAAAACATGTCAGCAAATGTTGTCAAATCCATAGTCAAGTGCGGACGCAGATGGCTACGGTTTTGTAGTCAAAATTTGATTGAGTTTGCTGTTAATTTGCACGCAAATTAGCAACATTTTGCTATCAGGGAATAATTATGTACGTCGTGAATCTAAAATTGCCATTCTTTCAAATTCATTATTGTAATGCAACCTATAGTTATAGTTATATTAGCTGCTTTCCATTTACATATAAGTGAAACTGACAATGAGTCTGAAGTGAGCTGAGTATAAAATACTCAGATTAACGACGTCACTACTTGCTTACTTTGGTAAAATTAACAAATAACAACACAGATTTTTATAACTTTACTTTTAAAGTGAGTTTGCAAGACTCAATAAAGCACACGGTCTCGACTTGTGCAATTTGTAGGTAAAAACTTAGTTGAATCTCACTTCTCAGAATGCAAAAGGAACGCGCATTCAACTGAGTTATGACGTTACAAGTGAGAATTATCTGAGAATCGGAGTAAATGAAAAGCAACTATTGAATAAGTAGACATAGTTCAGTTGATGACTTTTATGTTCTAATAATTCGGTTTTTAACTGTTTACAGATCTGGTATACAAAAGTTGCATCACAATGTTTACATGTCTTGTAAACAACATTCTTTTCGCAAGTTTAGAAGGGGATCTTTGTAAACTTTAATGAATCCATTGAGTTTGTAACGATCTAACTTTTGAAATGCGCGCGGATGTAACTCGTCGGTTATTCGTGGTGCAGGATTCGAAAGAAGTTCAAGGCGGAGAGAAAGTGCAGCGAGTAATCTCAAATATGGAATTAGAAAAGAACAGAACTTTATTTTGTATGTACAATGTAAATGGTGAGTGAGTGAGTGAGAGTTAGTACAATATTTCTGTATGTTTGTATATGTATGTACGAATATAGAGCCGTAGTTGGACACGGCGGTGTGTCTATGGTGTTCGTGTGCGTGCGTGTGTGCGTGCGTGCGTGGGTGGGTGGGTGGGTGCTTCCGTGCATGAGTGGGCGGGTGTGTGTGATAGTGATTGAAGACAGGTAGGGATTGTCATGTAT